TACAGTGCTTTGACCCTCATTCCACAGTAACACTAAGAATATCAGAACTGAATTGTCCTTGAATTATGCATCATTTCCACCACCAAAAAAAACCTTACAGCTCCAAGTTCCTACTTAAGTAACATATTGAGATTGTTAATTTTATTCTCATAAAATAATTAATAAAACGTTCAGGAATACAAAGAGACTGCTGACACCTTCTGGCCACTTGACATTCTGTCCAAAAACCAGGAGAACTTCCAAGAAAACATCTTTCATGTTTTCCCAGGCACTCAGGATCACATGAAGACTGAAGCTGCACCGGGATTACCATATGACAGCTCCTCACTTGGTTCACCTCTCACCCACACCCAGTGTCTGTTTTTCACAGAAAACATCCAAAACAAACAGAGATCACCTCTCTGCCTGCTATGATTGCACCCAGATCTGGCTTAATTTATCATTTCCTTTTAGCTTTCACTCTAAATATACTGCATCCAAGGAACCACTGCAACTGAATCGAGCTCATGTTCAGAACAGAACCTACAACAAAACAAATCCATTTTGTATTGAATTAAAGAGCCAAACCTGCAGCTTTTGCTTCTTCTTTTTCTTCGGTTTGGTTTCTAATTCCAGCTCATCCTTTTGGGCCATGTCTTCCTTCAGCTTTTTTCTTTTTTCTGCCTTCTTTTCTTTTTTTTCCACAACCATTTTTGGCATTCTAAAATGCTGTTCTGTAACAGAAACCACGAAACTGCAGCTAGAACCTTTTTTCATATTAAATATCAGTCTCATATACAGACAGTTATACTATAATTGCACTGGTATGGTAATTACTTGTGACTCCCTAACTATGAAATGTATGTCTGCACTGAAATTTGATTCATTTTGGAGAATTTTCGTGTTTCCTTTAGGAATACACTGTACTTAAAGCACTGTAAAACTCAAATACCAATCCCCTGTAGGAATGTCCACACCTTTTGTCCTCTGAGGCCCTGTTGTGGAAAATGCCTCAGTGATATTCCTGGCAGGAATTCCCCATAACTTAGGCTGTGCTTTCTGCAGGTTAGAGCGCACCACAGTGAACTGTCTGATCAACTGCCCACCTCAGATAACACCCCATCATCCCAGAATACACTCACATGACTGCTGGCCATCCCACTAATATGCACATGTGTTGTCTGCAAAGCAAAATGTAAGGCCATTTGATTACTAAGCAGTTTTCAACCATTAGTTCTGCTTAAACTGCAAGTTTTACTATTTTCATATAGGTTAACATGGTAAAGCTACGCTTGATAGTTGTCTCGCTAGCTTTATCGTTAATTTTAGACTGAAATAAGGGTGAACATGAGCAGGAGTTGCAGACAACACTGCAGCTGGGTGTGAAAGCAGATCAAGTTGTAATTCTGCACTATTTCTTTGCCAGAACACCTGATTTAAGCGGCTTTCCCCAGCTGCCCCAACACTGTCACTTCCAGCGTCAGTTTCAGCGTCAGTTTCAGCACACAGGCAAGCAGTGGCTCAATCACAAACATTTACCTTGAAACACACACTGAAATACAACACAACCCACGTGGGGAGGCTCCGATAGAACAGGAGCTGCCGAAGGAGAGGTTTGGCAGCTCCGGGACAGCGGAGCCAGGCCTGGCACGCGTGAGGCACAGCCCGGGAGGGCACCCAGCCCACAGCCAGCCCCTGCACAGGGCCCCGGCCCCGCTCCCCAGCCCGGATTCGCTTCCCAACATAAACCCCGCCTCACATCCCAACACAAACCCCGCTTCACATCCCAACACAAACCCCCCCTCACATCCCAACACAAACGCCCCGGCACAGCCGTAGCCCCCTCAGCCACCCCGCCGCGCATGTGGCCAGGCCGGGCCGAGCCTCCCCGCCCCTCCCACAGCTCCGTGCGGGCAGGGGGATCCCCGGAGGAGCCGCCGCCGCCCCGGGGGGAGCCAGGGCTGCGCCCCCCGCCCGCCCCACACGCACCTCCCACAGCCGCCGCCCCGGCACATTCAACTGAGCCCCACGCTTGGCGCCGCCGCCCGCCCCCTGCCGCTCATTGGCTACGCGGGGAGAATGGCGGCATCTGGTTGGCTGTCTATCTGTCAATCACTGTCATGGCCAATAGGAAACCCTACTCGGAGTTAAAGCGCCCATCGGGAACACGTGTGCTGCGGAGCGATCCGCCGGCTTCTGGCGGCGTGGGTGACGTCACCTTCCCGCGCCTAGCTTCCCCCTGTGGCCCCGCCCTTTAGCCTGGGGGATTCCCGGAATCGGGACCGTGCCGGGCCTGGCCGGGATCCGCCCGCATCCTGTCAGGGGCCAAACTGTACCCTACTGGGACCCATCCCTCATCCTGCTGGGACCCCTCAGGGCCTGGCAGGGGCCCAACCGTATCCTGACAGGGACCCGCCCGCGCCCTGCCTGGAACCCCTCAGGGCCTGGCGGGGATCCCCCGCATCCTGACAGGGACCCACCGGCACTCTGCTGGAACCCCCAGGGCCTGTTAGGGACCCCCCAAATCCTGACGGGGACCCCCAAGCCCTGTCAGGGATCCCCTCAAATCCTGACAGGGACCCTCAAGCCCTGGCAGGGGACCCCCTAAATCCTGGCAGGGATGCCCGGGCCTGGCAGGGGACCCCCTAAATCCTGGCAGGGATGCCCGGGCCTGGCAGCCCCTCCCCGCCCTGCAGGACGGCCGGTGGGAGCCAGCCCGGCGCTCCCGAGTGCTGCCGGTGACAGCAGGCGGGCCCGGGAGCGCTGCGGACACTCGGGTGTGGCTCTCTGCAGAACGGCTCCGGTCCCTTTGAGCCCCGGGTCCTAAAGGCTCCAGATCCTAAAAGATCCTGCAGTGTGAGACAGCAGTGCCCGTGTCCCGATGGGGTCTGGTGCAATGCGTGGGAAGAGGACAAGGGTGTCGTTTGACAGATGGAGAAAACACCTCCGAGGACAATTTCCAGGAAACAAATTGGTTTCCATTCATTTTTCTATAAATACCCCATGCACAAACTTTTCCAAGTCCCCTTGGTAATTTAAAGGCCAGAATCTTTACCACGTACACACACGTCGATGACACATTCTTTTTCAGGACAGCCTGAGACAGGGCTGTTGTTTCCCTTTGCTTGGAGCCCAGCATCCCTGAGATGCTGGATGTGGGAGCAGATGCTGCTGGCAAACACATCCCTGTCCCGTTTCAGGCACTGATGGGAAGGGACAACCTCTGTTCTCCTCCTCCCCACAGCGAGGTGCCCTCCTGCCCCCGGGCATCCCTGCTGGGCTGGGAGAGCCTCTGTCCCCTGAACCTTGTCCTCACACTACGGCCAGAACCCTTCCCAAAGCATCACTGGGGTGCATGGCATCCTTTGGGAATGGGTGCTGGTTAGAAATTATACACAAAAAATATAAAATGTATGTTAGATACAGCAGCGTGCTCGGGCTGAGTTAGGGTTTTGGCACACAGATAATCACAGGGTGGTGGTACCTAAAACTAAAGCTGTAATTTGAGCTTTTGCTCCAATATGAATAGACAAAAAAATATTTTCTATGTTTATAGAGTTCCTAAAATAGATTGTGTTATTGCATATCCTATTGTGACATCCTGTGGTTAAACACAGTATTACAGATACTGTCAAATCACAGTTTTGGCTGCAGGATTGTAAAAAATTAGATTATGTGGAGTGATCAGTGTAACTCATGTCTATGTTACATGTTCAGTTTGGCCAGCTAGCTGTGAACTTCTCCAAAAACTTATCCAGGATGAGAAATCACACTGGGTCAAACATTAATGTGGGATAGCACAGATACTTGTTCTGTGCTGGACAGAAATGACATCTGTCCTTTCTCAGGAAAGGCCTGTGACTCCAGGTGTTGATTGTTTACGTGCTGTCCCTGTGAAGGACCCTAACTCCACACTTCCTCCTCAGGCAGCATTCCCACTCCAAGGATTCAACTGTTCAAAAAGAGACACAAGAGTCTTTGCACACCTGCAGCACCCCCGAGGATGTACAAAGCACATGCACCAACTGCACTCCCATCTCTTAGAGTGTCAGCAAAGATGGTTTTTCCCAGGTCAGGGAACTCAGCACTGCTCTGCACAGTGCTTCTCCTCCCTCCTCAGCAGCACTGCAGGAGCTGCAATTTCCCTCCAGGTAGTCCCAAGCCAACACTGCAGCCCAGAAGCCCCAGCATGCAGAGGAATGGCTCCAATGACACATGAAATTGAGTTCTTGACCCCCTGACACCATCAGAAAGCCCTGGCATTTTTCTCACAATTAGCTGGATGAGAGGTCTACTTAGATCCCATCTGGGGAATTAGCATTGTTCATTAACAGCACATTTCCATTTCATCAACCTGTAATATTTCAGGCCTCAAGCTAAGCAGCTGGATGCTCATGCAGTTTTAAAGAGCCAAGAGAGCTGGTCAGGATAATAGATGGAGCATTATCTACCATGACTTCACTTGTTTAAGCTTTTCAGGAAGACAGCAAGAGCAGCCTCCCTAAAAAACGCTGTATTTTGGCCTTATTCTCATTACACAAGATACAGTTAATGCTACTTTCTCTGGCTTCCTTTTCACCCTGAAACCACAAAATATATTCCTGCAAATCTAGATTTCTGTCTAAGGGACAATAAATGATGAAGAATTATACTGCACGTGCCTCTGTGAGCACCAGCCTTCAGACAGGACCTGAAAAAGCACCTGTAAAAAAGATGGTGTGGCTTTATAAATAAAGGTCTTCCAATGACATTCAGAAACCAAGAGGAAGCTCCATATGGATGTTGTTTGTCATGCAGAGTCAGAGCACTTCCAAAAGGATTGAGACATATGACAGTAGCTTGTATTTCACATTTTCATTTTGGGAGATTCTTAGTTCAGGCTTGGCATGACCTAAGCAAATCTACCTGTATTTCATACCAACTGTAATCTTCTACCTACCACCATCATCTCACTTCCTACATCAAATATTTTTCATAATATTAAAGTTCTTATTCAAAATACAGGAACAAATAACATTGGCTTGGAAAGGGTAACGGTTTATTAAATGCATACAAAATTATGACACAAAAATAAGTTAATTGCATAGAAATTTAAGAGAGAAAAAAATATTAACTTCATTTTAAAGGTTTGATCCAGATGTGAAGAGCCTCTACTATCTGCACCTGTAAGACATAAGAATGCACTGTAAGGGTTGCACAACTGGAACTTTCAGTCACATGAGCTACAGCACGCCAGGGAAGGGCTTGGCCCATTTATTTTAATTCAGGTGCTTGCTGTGCTTTCCTCACTCTGATGACACACCGTTTTCCCAGAACTTGGCCAAACCTCCCACTTTTTCTGCTGAGACCAGCCTGCAGATACAATTTCATGTCTTAATTCTCGTGTCTATGAGGCCACGTTAATTACTCCGCTATAGAGAAGCGGGGATTCACCCGTGCTGTCAGAGCCCCTCTGCTGCACTCCCAACACCATTTACAGATCAGCCACCAGCTCTAGAGCAGTCAGAGGTGTGACAGTGGCACTGCCACACCGTGTGGACACCAGCCTGGTTTTAGTTTGTCTTTTCTCCTGATACCTGTTGTGCTGACGATTCCCATTAGATGGCACTCCAATTGCTCCCGGGGAGTTGAAGGTGGAGTGAGATGCTCTCATCAGAGCTGCATATCTACAAACAAACACAACCAGGCTCAGCATCTATGCACTCTGTATTTTCACTCTTCCATCCAGTTTAATCATCTGCATCTGTCACACAAATCTCACAGTCCTACTGCACAGAACAGTCAAGGGATGTCTGCCTGCAAAAGACAGATTTTTTTATTAAGTTCAAACTTGGCTTGTCAGGGTATTATTTATTCTTGGTTACTTCAAGTGCTGGACATAGATTTAGGATTCCACTATGTGGACCTAGACCCCAAATGGCGCCTGAGTTGGCCAGTGCCTATTCTCAGTTAGGAGAGACTGACCCAGGTAAGCTTGAAAATCCAGGAAAACATTTGACAAGCTTTTTCTCTTGGCTCAGAAATTAAGGCTGACATGTCAGAAATTCAGCCTGAGACATAAGAGGAAATCATGGCTATTTTATTGATATGACCAGTAGTTTCCAGAATTCCCTTTCTGTCCAAGCTCCCCACCAAGCCTTGAGCTGAAGTATCCCAAGTCCAGCTCACCCTGCCTTGGAGATGGGCTGGCTGCTCCCTCTGCAGTCATGATCCAGAGGATGCCGATGTTTTATGCAGAAGCTGCCACCACACTGTTCACAAACCACCTTCATCATCTCTTTCCTTTTGCAGCCTGGCTTTGTGCATTTGTTTGTGAAGATCTGAGTAAGAGAGGACAGGAAGTTGGCAATGTTGGCTTTCTGTGAGCCATGACCAAGCTGAAGGCACAGGAAGGCAGCTTAGACTTCAGCAGCAGTTTTCTTACCTTCTGCTTCTGCTGTGCTGGGTTGTATTTGCAGTCCTTATCTATGTGGGCTCCAACCACAATATCTGGGATTTCTCCCTTCTGCACTGGGATAGGTGTGTTACAGAGGGGACACACTGGCACCTGCACATTCTGAGAAGACACAGCACAGATCAGCATCACAGAATTAAAGAATTGTTTAGATTGAAATAGACCTTTAAGATAATCAAGTCCGACCATTACAAGTCAAACACTATTTTTATGTTCTTCCCCTTCTCTTACCCATAGATAATAGAAATATATTCCTAAATGTTTTGTGTTCCCATTTGCTAATGCTTTTAAAGATACACTTCACAACAGTAACTGCAAATCCCCATCCAAAAACCTCAGAGAAATGCTTTGCCAAACCAACTGTAGCAATGTATTTAGTAAGTTGACTTTAAATATACTTTTGGCTTTTCTGGAATTACAGCCCTTGAATACTTCAAAGCCCAAGTAGAGGCCAGAGATCAAAGTTTGGACCCACTTGTTCTGTTTATTTCTTCTGTAGTTTCATGTTTGTTGTTCTTCAACTTAAAGGACTTGGACCACCGAAAATTTTAGACCACAATACATTACTTGAAATATAAAGCACTCCTCTCTGGGAAGATGCACTGTAAGTGAAAAAAACTGGAATCTAGCAGTTCTGACCTGTGAAATGTCATGTTTTTATATATTAGAAATCCAGATGCATCATTAACTTGCATCTTGAGGTTCTCCTATCCACTTTTATTGAAAGCACAGGTGAAGTTTCAGAGCAGCCCTTATAAATGACTTAGCAATTCTGCAGGGAGAATTATGACTCACGTCATACAGAACTCACTTTCTTGTAGGCACAGCTGCACTTGTGGTCATCGTAACGGATGTGATCTTTACAGAAGACTTCCCCACACGCGTCACATTTCAGAGGAAGGAAATCTGGGAGAAGAATAAAAAAGAAAACATTTTTATGGAACAAAGCTAACAACTCTAAGAGTACTCACAGAAGTCTACAAATAAATTCTAAAGCAGTTTTTGTTGAGCCACAATCCAATTATCTCTATAGAGATTAGATCATTTTTCACAAATATTAAAACTAAAAGAGCACGAGTGGAAAGTTTTCCTCTTTTTACCTGCAGCATAAGACAAACACAAGCCATAAGCACCTCAGGAGCTCCTCGAATGCAGAAACCTCAGTGAGCAACTAGTCAAGAGCTAAGAGCTGAAGTACAAACGCAAAGCCCAATTTCAAAAATTACGTTATTCTTGAAAAGCCATTCCTTAACAATTTAACACGTACAGGAACCACAGCTATCGCTCTTTCCCAAGCCCTACTGAGGGGGGACCACAGCAGCAGCTCTGGTGTCTGCCACTACCCCCAGCAGCTCGGGGGGGACAGCACCGGTGCGCAGCACACTGCGGGACGGCTCCGCCCGGGCGGGCGCTGCTCGGGACCCGCACTCACCCAGCTGTTTGCAGGTGCGCTCGGAGCAGTGCTCGCCCAGCCACGGCAGCTCCATGGCACACGGGGAACGGCGACACCGACACCGACACCGACACCGACACCGACACCGACACCGACACCGACACCGAGACCGACACCGACACCGACACCGACACCGACACCGACACCGAGCCCTGGACGGGCACGGGCGCGGCCGCCGCGCCTTTAAGGGCTCGGGGCGCTGAGTCAGCGCAGCCACCTGCTGAGTCACGCTCCCGCCGCCCCGCCCCCGTGACGTCACTAGCGCCACAGCCAATGGCGTGCCCCACCGCCCCCACCGCCCGCCCCGCGTGCGCGGGCAGCGGCCAATGGGAGGCCGCGGGGCGGCTGAGTCACGGTCGGGGGCGGGGCCTGTGAATGGGAATAATGGGGGGGAATGGGGAATAAGAATTAAGGATAAGGATAAGGATAAGGATAAGGATAAGAATAAGAATAAGAATAAGAATAAGAATAAGAATAAGAATAAGAATAAGAATAAGAATGGAGATAGGCACTGGGGTGAGAAAAGACTTGGGGCAATAAAAGGCAAGACGTGGGGCAATGAGATGAGTTCAGGGTGGAGGTGGCAGGGGTTGGTAACGGTGACCGGAAACTTCCCCAGCTGGTCTCTATTGAAATGCTTGTCTCGCTTTGACAAGGCACCTTGAGATCAAGGTGTATTTAAAATGTGGATCTTTGGGGGTGTGTGACAATTCTGGCTTCGCACAGAGCAGAGGATGACTGTTGATTTCATGACATTAGCAAAAGGATTGAGAAATGACACAGTGTTGTTCCACCCCGCTCTCCCGGAAAACTCCTGACTGTGCTGTGGTGCGTGACTCAGACACAGAGTGGAGCCACGAGGTCAAAGGGGAGCTTTGGGATTGCGTGTGCTGCTGGCTGCCTGCACAGGCCACTTTGTGCTGTTGAACTCCAGGAGTGGCATGTGCCACTGCTCCACCTTCCACGTCACTCACCAACGTGGCACTCATGTGACTCCTGCTGTGGGTGCCAGCTTGGAGCACTTCCCAACAGCACAGTCCTGCTGGATTAAATTGATACCGTGTCATCAGCCAGACACAGTGCTCACTCTTCAATTAATTTTCTCTCCCAAACCCACAAAATTACCAAATCTCACATAAACCCTTACTCCACAGAACAGCTGAGCTGACAGAGCATTCCGCCACAGGTTTGTGAAGGGTAAACTCTGATTTCACCTCCTCCACTGTGGTGTTTGCTGCCTGGGGTCTTCTGGGTCGGCTGTGCCACATCCATGGGAACACCCAAAACCCACTCTGGGACAGCCTGGGGAGGGCACAGCCAGAGTATGGGACTCTCCCCCATGACTTTTGTTCTTCTCACTTGGTTGGTTCTGGCAATTTGGGACAGGTGAATTTTAAAATGGGAGAGGAAACAGCAAAAAATATCCAAATACAAATAGTAAGAGAAAGTCAAGTTATCCAAGGTACTTCAAGAGCTTGCCTTTATTATGCATCAGCTTCCTTGTACAACTCAAAATCTTGGGAGGTGCAAAAAAACCCACATGTCCTGCTGACCTTCAAGGCTGATTTTTTTTCCCTACAAAGCACCTACCCAGTGCTTGAGAGCAGTGGGATCCTCATGATCTCCCCAGGAAGGCTTGCCAAAAACCAGTGGGATGGGCTAAGCAGAGAGGAGGAGGTTGGTGTCTTCCCTAGCTGGCTGAGAGTGCCCTGCAGGCTGGAGAGCTGCTGCCAAAGGGATCATGTTTTATGGTGGAGAAGGGAGGAGTCTGCTTGTGGATAACAACAGGAGTGGCTCTGCACAGATTAGATGCTCTTAACGACGACTGTAAATCCCAAGTCTGGAAACCCACATAGTACAGGCAGGCATCTTAATAGAAACGAGGATTAGAAATTAGCTGAGGTCTTTAGTGATATTTTTAGAAGGTTGCTCCTGACAGGTTAGGCTGCTGAGAACCAGAGGAAAGTGCCGAACCCTGTGTTACTTGGGAGAGGATCACACAGTGCAGTGTGTGATTAGAGGCTGGCTAGCTTAGTGACAAAGGGGATACGTGGGTTAGGGCTGATTCGGGAGGAATTAGCAAGGGAAATTGCTTGAGAAGCAGAATTTGATTAGGGGCAGCCAACATGGATTTGTGAAAGGAAAGCTATGTGTAACTAACTTGCTGGAGTCTGGGGGAGGCACCATTCCCTGGCAGCCTGTGGAGTGTTGGTTTTATATAACTGATCTGCAGAGGGAAGGCCTGGCCCTTTGCCACCAGAATGGTGACACTGGGTGCGATGGATGGCAATCCCCTCCCTCCCTTGCATCTGCATGGGCTCTCTGCCTCCTCTTTCCCCATCCATCCCTTCCACTTCCTTTTTAGTTTTTATAGGAGGAGGCCTATTGCTTCTCCCCATGTCCCACACTCTTCTCTCTGTCGTTCTCTTCCTCTCCCTGCAGTCCATGGGATTGCCTCTTGTCGGGGTATTAAACATCACTGTCCACCCCAACACACCAGCCTGGTCTACCTTGGGACCTGCATTGCATCCTAAAGGGGGGATAAAACTCCTCAGAAAAGGACATTCATGGCACAGCAGGGGAACAACTGTCCAACATCACTGCCAGCTACAGGCACAGCATGGATGGGGAGCCAGGGATGTGCTTCCATCCTGTCTCCCAGGGAGGGTCTGTCCCCTTCCAGCACCTGGGTTATGGCAGCACAGCACAGAGATGCCCATGGCCAGGACAGCCAGGTCCATCCACCTCCTCTCTGCCCTGTATGCCCCAAACTCCTCCCAACACCATCCAGAAGACACAGGTGAGTCCCGTGTCCCTGGTGTCCCCAAGGCCACCTTGTTGCCTGCAGTTGTCCTGCTTGTTGCTCCAGCTGCAGAGCCACTGCTGTGGCATTAACATTTGGGTGACTCCAGCTCTCACTTGCCTTTTCCAGGTCTCTGAACTCCAATCCCAATGTTCTGCTTTTCCGCTCATAATTTCGTACCAGGCTCTTAAAACTGGATTTTATTTTCATTGCAATGACCCTGGGATGCTGCCTGATGCCTCTGTGGAGGAGACATGACATCTCCATTACACAGCTCAGATAAGTGTCTTAAAGAGACCACACACAAAGGAACCTAATGGTACCTATTTTTATTAGGTTTATTACAGGAGGGGAAGGAAAGCAGTCCCATCTCCCCACAGGATACTCTGTTAACAGCAGCAGACAGAGAGGAGAGATCTGTGGAGGTGGATCAGTTTTCCAAGAATATTAGCTACTGCTGCTCTAAAATTAGAGTCTAGGGAGAGCAGACAGGTTGACATAATTGAAAGGGCTGTCTTATGGGATGACATAGTTAAACAAGTCCATGATCAGCTTTAGAGTGACAGCTCAGCGACTTCTTCTAATCCTCAAAGGAGCACTGAGTTGTGAGGCTGTGATTTAACTAGTCCTGGATCTTATATTGTGATGATGTCAATATTATTAGAACCTGCTCCTAAAGAGATGCCTCCAAAATCACTGTACATGAACCGACTGGTGTTACGGGCACGACTCTGCTGCAGCTTCACCCTGCAGAGCCGTGGTTGATAAAACACTCCCCTGCTGCCCTTCTTACGTACCTGATTCTGTCCCTGTGGGCTGGGCTACAGGGGCAGGTCCAGAAACAGGATTAAGAACCTCATTTCAGGATGGAGCTGAAAAATGTCCTTCAGCCGCCCATTTTATTCAACGTAATTTAATAGCAAACACAAACTAACAAAGTTAGAGGTGAAATATAATAGCAGGAACCCCATAAAAAGTAACCTAATCTGTAAGATAAATAGACAACACTTTAGCCTGGGGAGATAGCAAATAAAAGAGAAATATGAGCAGAGCCATTCTCAATTCATAACTAACTTTAAAGAGAAATAATGAAGATGAGTTCTTCAACTTTTAATGCCCTAAGATTCTACTCCACAAAAAAAAACAAAAAAAAAAGCATTTTTAATGTTTTCCTCACACATTGTATGTCCCCAGCCAAATGTCCTGGATCACTCCCACACAAGGAGGCATCCATCAGAAAGGGAAATGATGTGGAGAAACCTTACTGTAATTCCTGATGGAGCAGGAGACACCAGGGATGGAACTTTTTGTGCTGGTGGAGCCTCTTGGTTGCCTTTGGTGGCCATCTCCCACTGCCTTGTTTTGGGTGCACAACTCAGAGCACCCACTGCCTTCATGGTGGCATTAGTCTGACATTTATTATTTTAAGGGGTTTTAGTTTGTTTTTTTTTCCTTCAGTGCCTACTTTAACTTCAAAGGCTGGGAATTTCCAAGCTGCCTACTGCATTTAGGCACCTAAATCCCATTGAGTTTCAAGTGTGTACCAGCCCTTAGGCTCCTAGGAAAATCCTTGCTAAGTGCCTAAGGGCTCATTGGCAGCCCCTGATTTACACAGATGCCATTGCACCAGCAGGAGCTCACTTCTTCAGTAGAACAGTCTCTTTTTAAAAACCTCCTCCTAAATTAAAAAATAAACTAGGAAGGACCACCTCTGATGGCTAATTTTTGGTGGTATATGCCTGTAAAGAATATAATCTCCTTGGGTTATACAAAAAAAAAAAAAAAAAAAAAAAAAACCAAAAAAAAAAAAAAAAAACCCTCGGCTACCCAGCACTAAGCCATCCAGAGACAAAATGCTCCTAGTTCCAGCTCTTGGCCCTCTGCGGAAAAATCTCATATTTGGTGTTTTAGAGGTAAACCCCACCATATCCACCACTGACTCTGACACCCACCATGTCTCCAACCCCCTTTTAGAGCACCCAGGAAGTATCTGTAGAGGAGAAACAAAAAATTAGCAGAATTAATCCATTTGCTTTGCGGTTTGGGGATGCCCCAACCCAAAAGGAAAGGGCAGAGAGCAGCCAAGCTGGCAGAGGGATGGGTACAGAGAGTACCCCTGAAAAGGCTGTCTCAAAGGGTGGGAATCATTGCAACAGCCTTTCTAATTGTAGAGGGAGATAAATCTCTTATCAGGTGATTTCTGGTCACTGATCAAACTCTATTGTCTTACTTAACATAAAAAGGTTGGGGATCTCCATGGCAGATTTCCTGGAATAACAATTGTCTTTTTGTTGAGTCCATACTGCAAACAGCATGACAGAACCCAGTCCAGCACTACTGAGCCCCAAATTTCCTCGGCTCTACCATGATGCCATCAAGTAGCAAGGGAAGTTAGACTCCA